GAAGAGAGAAAGAGAGAAGTGGCACCACCAGCCATTAGGAGAATCCTGTTTTAAAATCAATCTACTTACATTAAAAAATTACATTTTACAATAAATATACTAGAGAAAAGCTAGCCAAAAATTGTACTTACACATGCATATCCTTAACTTTTACCACTTTGCCAAATGTGCCCTCCCCAAGGGTGGCCAGGATCTTATCTGCAAATTAAATTCACAAGAAATTAGTACAAGCAAGCAAAATTACTGTGCTGCTGTTAGAAACCACTACATTCCGAACACAAGAATCCAGATAACTTCTCTTACCATTAAGTCATCTGCTTCATGTAAAAAAATATCACTTCATGCACACTATGACTGGCTAGTGATATATATATTTACTGTTTTAAAATTTCAATATTATTTTATTCGTATATGTTCTTACTAAACTACTATGTGGTCTTTGCATATATGGAAGAATCCTTTAAACCTGTATGAATAAACTTTAATTACACAAGTGGTCTCCAACACGCACAGTTCACAACGACAACTCATAAAAATACTTTATATAATCTCCCTATTTGGTCAGTATAATTTTCTCAACTGCTACATTAATATGCCAATTTCTTTCACCTCTCAAAGTCATACCAATTGATGAATTTGAACTGTACTATCATGCTTATGTATCTTTCATGATGGATCAAATCTCTTCCTTCCCCTTGAACCCGTATCATGCCATCTAAAATCCATCGTCCCCCCTCCCACAACACACACAGCGCTGAAAAGGAATGGTAGTTATTAATGCACTCTAACTGAGAAAGACGTGTGAATATTGTTCTCCCCATGGAACTGGTGTAATATCAGGGGAAATGATATTGTCTATTAGTATATCTACTACAAAGTAGTTGTATTCACGAACATCGGTCTTGGAGAACGTCGCCATGGCGATATATCAGGTGGCCATCTTCATCGTCTTCCACCGAGGGTGCTCGAGAGCTCTGCAGGAAGGCAAGTCACCGCACACACCACACCGTCCGTCAGTCACAGGACATGGTCCGAGCCGTCGCCAATTTACACCAACCGACCGAGCGGGGTGAACAGGGCGGGCAGGGCAAACAGGCACATCCGATCACGTGGCGCAGTGGGCGATAGGTAGAGGTGGAGGTGCCATTTCATTGCCGCCAATTCAAACCGAGATGCGAACCCAACAATCAAGAGACAAAGAGGGGAGAGGGCAAAATGGTTTGCCATGTCAACAAATGATGTTAACAATGATTGCCATGGGAACAAAATAACAAAGCGTCACCACAGCAATACAACAAACAAATGGAGGCAATGGCATTGGGGAAATATCTTGATGAACCTTTAAAAATTAACTAGAATTATTTACTGAAAGGTTGGGATTAAGTCAAATCAACCACTACCACAGCTTTCCTATGCAAGAGTGAGTAAATAACTGTACTTTTATAAGTGTCACATTTGTAAGTTTTAATGTCCACTTCAGTGCTTAAATGCTCAACTGGATATCCTTAATTCATTAGAATTGGCTTCTTACCAGCGTCTCTTACTGCAGAGCCGCTCAGCTAGAACTAAGACTTAGCATGCTGCTGAGGTCAGATCAGTGGATCAGACAGGCACTTGCTGTTAGTCACAAACATACCTTCAAAAAAACATACAGTAAAGGCAAAATAGTTATAAAAACTGCTTTATCACATGTTCAGTGCTGTCTTATCTGCATATAAGTGAAAGAGGCAAACTATTTGGTATTACAAAGCATCATGCATCAATCATGTGATTACACCAGCAATTTTGTAAGTTACTTCATTATAGTGTGTACTTTCAGCTTTAAACACCACTCCATGTCAAGGAACAGTAATGATGCTAAAGCTATTAAGCAAACACACAGCACTGTATTAAGTACGATTTTTTCATACAGACGTGTCTGAATATTTTTTTTTTTGGGGGGGGGGGAACTTTACTTTTCACAGAAACTTTAAAAAAAACACCCTTCTTCAAACTTTGAACAATGAATTAATCTGTAATTCAACTCCATGAACCCCACAGTTGCTTGAGATATTCTTCAACTGCCACACAAAGTTGAGCGAACAAAACTTGACTGTCTCATGCTCTAAAGCCAGATCACTACTTACAGTTGGTACCACAGCAGAGGTATATTTGTGCTGGTACTTGCTGGCAAAAACATTGGAGGACTTCGTAGACTTTTGCTTATTTGACGTTGCCTCATACGCTCTATTATAGGCATCATCTAACAAGTAGTACTTTCCTTCTGGGGCAACAACTCTTCCACTAGACTCCTCTACTGTACACTTTCCCTCACCAGCAGACTTATTGTATGCTTCATCTAAAGCAGTGTACTTCATTATCAGGCTCTGAATCTCTTTCCGCCTGGCCTCACGTTCATTCACAGCATCTTCTATGGGATGTTCCCGCTTTGGAGTTTCATCAGTACTGGAAGGTTCAATCTCAACAGGGCAGAGACGTAGACCAGAAAGCAGTAGCCTTCGTTCACCCTGTTCACTTTTGCCCGCTCGTACGGGGCGCACGGGAACTCGTCGTGAATGATCCCCTTGACCAGACTTATGTCTATGACGACTGCTACTATAAGCCTGTTGCTGCAGCCTATGCTCACCATGGCGATAAGGTGTTTTCTCTCGGAGAGGAGCTGCTGTACTTTTGCTCACATAGGGGTATGCCTTTTCTGCAAGAACGATATTGGCCGTGGTAGCACTTTTTGTCAACAAGGGAGGAGATTTAGAAACTTCACGGACAGATTCTGTTTCCACCCTTCGTGATTCTGTCCCGACCCTGCGGGTCCCTGCATCACCCCTCCGACGTCCATATTTGTCTAGCACTGCAGAGTACTTGTCTTCTAGCCTGGATCTGGTGATTCCCAACTCAAGGGCGACCGAAGTCGATGACGGATTTGATGTAGCGATATTATCGGTGGTAGTGGAAGCTCCGCGTACCCGCGTTGTGATACGGTGGAGCAAACTGGAGCAAGATTCACTCAGCAGCTGAGTCACGCTTGAGGTCGTGGAGCGAGAGTAGCGATGTCTTCTGCTAGGTGCCGTCGAAATCGTCTCATTTGTGTTTGCACGAGAAGCCATTCTCCTGCTATCTTCAACGGTCAGTTTCGATCTGGCCCCAATAGAAAGAAAAGGTGACGAGAACTCTCAGAGGCCGAAATGTCCGTTCAGCGTTGTCACATATTGCCAAGTGATTACTGGTGACCACAGGATTCGGCCAAACATCCTACGCCACGTTGGTAAAACTGTGTCAACATTTCTTGTTGTTTCTGCACTGAACTTTTCTACCATTGCAACAATAGAGTCGTGTCGTTTGAACTACACACTTTCGTGGTCGTAAATAAAAGACATTTCTTCCGACCTCCCCCACGTACTCTTCAGAAACGTGACAACAGCGCAGCCAGGGATGCAACTAAAGATACTCCGGCTACGCTTGCCTCCCCTGCCAAATGCTGGCCTGACTAAAAATACCAGGCAGAGCGGGCTCCAAGAAAGAATGCGCAACGCAGTAGCTTTCTGCTAATTTCTTACGTAAACTGTGGCGAAGAAACAAAAAATAAATGTTTATAGCCAAATATAACGGCCATATCCCGCAAATAAATTAAACACGAGCATAACGTTCCTTGCCTTTCGAGATGAAAGCACGCGACCTGATCGCAGCAAAGCTCTGTGATTGCTTCTGCAATGGGTTTTGCGAAACATAATTTGGCGAATGAATTTGTTTCTTCGTGTAATTTTGCTAGAAAAAATAAACGAATTCACTGCTTCAGCAGGTTCATGCCGATAGAATCGAAAACGTAATATCACAGTCTTTGCCCAGTTCAAAATATAATAAAGTATACAGTATCGTTCCTCTATTTGTTGGAGAAATCATTCACAAAATGTGCAGATGATAGGTCATGTTAACGCATTTAATGAATCATTTCCCCAACACCTCGGTGCTAAACGCCTTTTTCCCCACTCATGCCACACTCTACTTCATTTGGATAATTAACTGTATAAAAACAAGACTGTAAGAGGCAACTTGCATAATAAAAGCGCGATCTTAAAGCCAATTACCTAACATCAATGAATGAAAATTTGACAAGGAGTTCCAAGCAGAATTCATAAAGTCTAATCCCATACTGCGCAGTCTATGTAGGCATTCCAACAAACGAACGTAATATTGTTCACGGGTTCATGTTGCTGGGGTCGTACGTAAATGGTCATACGATCGAATCTCACTTCGGGTACATTTTTTACTGTTGCTTACAAATGTAAAACACGTTACAATTATTAAAATGCATCTGGGCAAACATTCTTTGTTCCGCAGAGTTGCTAATTTCAGCATCCCACATCAAGTGTCGCTACCACCTCAGAATTTCGTGCGACCATCAGTCAACTCGGTTCAACTTCCGCTATGAAAAGAAATCATGCTTAAAGATTAATGTGGAAGAATTTATACGCAGCTTTCAGAAAAATCTTGGGCAGTTTAACGACAATGGATCAAAATGCAAAGAGTATGTTCCTTTTAAGGGTTTGTGAAGGCGATGTGGTACTGCGAAGTGGCAAGTGTGCCATTTTAAAATCACTCGTTTAGAAAAGGGCCCTAACAAAAGCTACGGCCGTTTCTTCAAGAAAGTACAACACCTAACAACATCTTGCGTAGCAACAGTGCGTAGTCAAACGTAACCACGCATCCACGTCATATCAACCGCTAATGTGTTGCATAGTGAAGATGTCATCCGGGACGATGCGACTGCCCTGTGATGAAGGCAGTACGAACCTCGAACAACGTCGGTCAGTTTCAAGGAACCTACAAGGGGGGACATCCCAGAAGTCTTGTCCACAATCGTCGCCGGAAGAACCTGAAATCTCACTGTTCCATATTACTCGTACGTACTGCTGCGAACTGCCAACCTACCACCTTTCAATGACTGTGGTTACCTTCAGTCGATTCTTGGCACACATCCCGAGCTTTCGCTTGCGCAGATTCCGTGACCATGGCGCTAAATCGAGACTGGTAACAGCAGATGGTTTTTTATTTGAAGCACCGTGGCCCATCTCTCTAGCCCTCAAAAGCACTCGATCAGTTCACTTCAACACAACAGGTAGGGTAACAAATGCAGATGAATTTTCGGGTGAAATGTATGTGAGATGAGCGAAATATCACGGGCCATAAAACCAGTCTGAACAATATATTTCGCGACAATGTCTATTCAAGACTGAGCAATCTGTTCTTAACGACATGTTGACGTTTGTGAATGAAATAGTCACAAAGTGTTCGGAAACGTCTAATTCAAAAACACAGAAACTATGAGCACGCACACGACACGAGCGAACAAATCCCTAAATCGTATATGTGATCTTGTTCGCTCCGTGTATCTCATCTAACACCCTTTACACACCACGGACGCATTTCTTTCCAAAAATCACACCATATTTCTAGTATCAGACACAAAAACAAAACGTATACCATAATTTGTCAACACGGTCACGAATATGCTTCAGAGTCCAGACCAACATGACAGCAATCTCTCTCTGAGCGCCACAGATGATCGACTTATGCTCAAAATGTATTCGAGCTGTTAACTGCATTGCTGACCACGCGAGAAGCACTCCAAGCCGGTTCTGGCGTGCTCGTGAAATGAAGTTTTAAAAACGGCACCCAAAGACTCGTTAAACTGTCTACAAAGTTGTTTTATCCGCGCTATAAAAGAACATTCTCAATTCGTTAGTTAGTCCAAATTACATCTTATTTATGTTCATAAGATTCCATCGTAGCATATTTAATGGCGCTGTATCAACCAAAGAAGTCGATCAACGCAGACTGATACACGAGAATTACGTCCGGTAAACTTCGACAGATCTGAGCGACTAACAGCTTGTACCCATGGACATACCGCAGTCAATAAAATACAAGAAACGAAACTCTGACAGCGACGCTTGAATCTATTACTGTCAATGTTACCCTAAAGACATCATCAAACACTGAGGCTACGAACTTTATTTCCAAGCACCCATTTTCTTTAAAAGCAAAGATTACGGAAAAAGATAACGCTTATTTTACATAACACTGTTTACATGTTCCTTCACTACAAGTTAAGGCCCGTACACTTCCTCCAGTAGTCGTGTCAGGTAGCTTTTTGATCATCAGGCTTCTATTTTAATGTAGTACGTTCCTTTAATGACGCTGTCAACAACTGAAATTGGTGTCGTGCGAAAGGATTACTGAAAGACAGAACTGGGATGTAGAAGGAATCGGCCTTGACCTAATGATCTAAGGCATTATCCCGGCATTTACCTGGATAAAGTCAAATGATAAATCTCTGGCGTACCCGAACACGGAAGGGTTGGTATTCTGTACCAGAAACGTTTTTGCATTTCGTTTTCTTATGCAGTTTACGCAAGGCGTGGGTCAATATGATGTAAGACTTGGAACTACGAGGACGCGATCATTTCTAAATTTATGGGCACCATCTGAGCACAAGCCTGGAGGAACGCAGAAAAACGAACAAAAATTACAGCCGTCCATCTAGGATGGGACTTAAACAAAAACAAAATTCTAAACACCCCAGGAGCTGGTTTGAAATGTGTTTCGTTTTAATAAATAACCTGTAATCCAACAATATTAATTACATTGTACACGAACTTACCACTGAGGTACGCCGTTCATGCAAAGTGAAAGCCAAACATCACGAAGACCTACAGTTATGCAATAATCCTGCCAAAATTTCACGTGTTTAAAAGTAATAAATCCCACGTGGTTACTAGAAGACAGCCATTTTGATATTTGCTTAGTTTTGTTTTAATTATATTAACAGATAAATTTTAAATACAGGAAAATTCCTACACGTGTCAGTTGTAAAGGGTCACGCAACCCCGACATCGAAAACCACAAAACGTGGATTTAACGACTAACCGAGTGCAGTAATTTACGATTCATTTGAAAATAATGTAATGGTTAGTAACTGCCAAAAAAAAAAAATATATACACACTAAAAGCGTCAATCAAAATACAAGTACATTTCAAAGCGTAACATAACAAAGGATGTAGGCATAACTAACAATACTGGTGCATTCGCCATATAACGAGCGATGATTTTTATTTGTTAGAGACTAGATGTTTTAGTTGTCAACTGCAAAGCTTACAAATCCGTACCTGGGCTCAAAAGTTCCACTTCCGATGCGCTGATTTTTAATAAAAACTTGAGACGGTTCTCAAGCTGAGACAACAGCATAAAAAGTCTTATGTCGAAAATTGTTTACACTTAACGAAAAAGTGTACTGGACATAAAACCTGTTTAGTTTTTTCCACAACTTGTTTGAATTTCTTTTCACACCGATGAATATCGAGTTCCACTTTAAACGCCCGCAAGCATTCACGTGGTGTCAGTTATTTCAACAAAAACTCAATTTGTCGACCATGTTTCTTAAAACGTATCAACACCAAGAATAAAATTCAATACGCGGACAGACAGGCGCCTTTTTCGCAAACTTTTCGTAGTAAACGCGACTAAGAACTGATTATCTCAACCGTGATAGGAAACACGGTCACGAAAAATTAATGTTAAATTATAATAATATACAATTAATTTCGAAACGGTACCGCAGATATACAAATGAGAAGAAATTATTAAAAAATAAAGAGACCGCTTTTCACAACTAGCATTTCCTTAAGGACCGAAGGGAAAATGAGACTTTGAGCGACCACAATAACGATGGAAAGACCAAGCCTATTCTGGGGATCATGGGAATAAATCTTCAGAGCTCATAAGGACTGGGATTACAACTACATTTAATGTACAGTGAACACAATGCGTATTGGAACACCGCACGTCACATGTGATGAATTCACCAGAATTATTATCACCGCAGAAATACGCATATTTAGTTAAGAGTTAGGGAGCCATGCAGCGACATCAAACAACCAGGAAAATCATATCCTCTGACACAGAGGAAGTGATGTAATTAATTTCCTAGTGAGACATGTTCTGTGATTCCCTTGTAGTTCACGAACTTTGGAAAAAAAAAGTCCTTAACCCGAAGTATCTGAACTCCTGTTTCTACTGTAGCGTTCAGTCCTGCTGCTGTGTGATGATTAAAAAAAATACAACTTAGAAATCTCCACCAGCAAGTCACAAACTTGTTTACATCAGGAGAGGCTGAGGGTGGTTCCGAGATAAATTGAACGTACAGTGCCATCAAGAAAAACAGAGCCGAACAAATTGACTTTGACCTTTGGTTCAGTGAATTACCTCTGACGTAAATTCCATCTGGACCAGTGTTGCATTTTGCTTATCAACGTGTTGAGTGAAAATATGCTTTGCCCGGAAACCATGCAATACTCAGATAATTTAATTTTCGAGTTGGGTTCAGTAGCTTTCTTGACAACCTAACAGTCGCTATGCCAATCAAGAAATTCTCTGCCTTTTATGAAGTATGGAGGCACACAGCCATTTTATAATACGCGGCACAGAAACATCGGCTCTCAGTTCTCAATTAGCTCTCTCGTGTATAATCCCTGTCTTGCGATTCTTAGTACTTCATAATTTGTATAGCATTTAGTACATCATCCGGCTTAAAGTATAAAATATCTAACAAACTGCTTCAACAATGAGAGCATTTTCAGTAATGGGCGATGTTTTCATGACGGCATTCAGCAAGACCTCACTGCTTCAAGGTCGAGTCAATTCTCAGCTCAGACAGACAGTACAATGTTCGCTACAGCTCGGCCCTTGACCCTTTTCTGAGGCAGATGAAATCAGTCTGTACCCTCAAAATTCCATTCCTGAAACACAAATTTTTAACACTATCCTCCCACGTATCCATGGATCTCCTAAGCAGTCTCTCATGCAGACTTTCCAACGAAAATCCTTTACACACTTCTAATCTTTCCAACGCGTGCTACATGGCTTTCCAAATCATCTTCCTTGATTTATCACCCTAATATTTGCCGAAGGGTACCAATTATTAGGTTCCTCATTATACGAACTTTTCCATTCTCCTTTCAATCTATTCCTCTTTGGTCCAATCATTCTTATCAGGAACAAGTTATCTAACACCCTGAATCTATGTTATTCCCAGTTACGTGAGTGACCACGTTTCACACACACACACACACACACACAAAACTAATTATCTTACGTAGAATTTTAGGTTTTCACGGCGGTGAGCCTGAAGACAGCAATCTTCAAATTATCTTACATTAAAACTGCTTTTATCTAGTTTTCGTTTGCTCCTAGAACCTAGTTACAAGGGTCTCATACAACTTACGAACCCCATACTCGTTTACAACGTCGGCTTATTCCTTCTTAACATTGGACTAATAAGATTAATCTCGGAAACAAATGTTATTTGCGATACATCACCAGTCAGCAACTGTTGGTATAAGCGTTCGCGTAATATTTCTTTATACAAAAAACTTCCATTTGAGCAAAACGTTTTTGCTAAACACAGAACTCTTCAAATATATGACTCAACTTTGAAACGTGATGGATGTAGTATACATCCTGACATAAAATTACATCACTTTCAAAACGTCAGATATTAAGAAGTCATGTTGTACAAACATCTTAAAACACCGTTATCAAACATGATTATTGTTTAAATACACACAACTGTAATACAAACAAGAATTTTTCTTTCCCCCCCCTTTACAATTCGATGAACCCTATAGGTTCACGAACTAGCTCGACATAGAATTTCAGGTGCAAACAACCAAGAAAGATCAACAAAAAATGGCTTTTCGCTAAACAAACTTGCCAATAAATGTCAAGATTACAAATACAGCCAAGTTAATTCACCTGTGCTATCTTGTACTTGCCGATCTGATTAGTTCGAGACACGAGCCGATTGCACTCGAGAATACGAATGATCCATCACAATCCATAATCCACCATAAAGAAATGTAATGTGTTGAAGCGTGGTAACGTGCGCGCTTCGTTCTTCTGTAGAAGCGAATGTCGCAATGAAAATCCACCCTCCTCTCCAGCGCAAAGGTTCGTATGACGACATTAATCAAATATCGACAGACCAACGACTGGCAAACACATAAACCAACCACATTTAATTCTGTAATTACCATAATATTTTCCGCGCTACTCTGCTCCAACTGCTTTACGAATGCCCTCGAGTGCTCTAAAAACCGAATGTTTGGGTTTCTCTGCATACTTCGCGCAAGGTAAAAACAAACTTGTTTCCCAAAGGCGCAAACAATAAGTTTAATACCATTCACTAAACTACGATTACAATTAATTAATGACAACTACCTCGGGGTCGGGATCGGGTTCGATTTCGGGTTCTGGCTCAACACCAGGTTCCGTCTGAACTGCGGATTCCATGCATGGAATCCATGTCCACGGGAGTCCGGAGCCGGTGCCATTCGGGAGATCAACCACAGGCCACCACGAAGACTGGACGAGGGCCATCTGGGGCTGAGGAGGCGGGGGTGGTGGAACTGACTGAGGGGTCAGCGACAACTCGCACACTCGTTGCTGCAGCAACTGATGCTGCAGATGTGACTGCGTTTGAAGCCCATAAAATTGCTGAGGTACAGCTTGTCTACAGAACAGGCCAAGCTGCTGCTCTTCTGCTTCCGAAATATGATTGTGTGGATGAGACCAA